TGCAAGTCTTATCACTGTTTCTCTTCATTCAACTCTGGAAATTCAGAGACTCAGAGATATGTCTTAGGACCCCAAAACCCCTAACGAGCCATTTGCGGGTCCATTGGCTCCCGTTTTGGTCGGTGCCAGGTGTCATTCATGCCATTCAAATTGATAAATGGTAGAACTGTCTGAAGCTGCTGATAGCTAAACCGGAGACTCTCACCAAAACTAGGGACCTTCCAATGGGAAGCTCTCTACACCAGTCCAAGCAATTGGAACATCTGCCAGCAAATCTCTTCATATGTCGGGATTAAGATGGATTTAAGGATGGGTTCTTTGAAGTGGTTAACTGTGTTCTTTTTTTTTGAGCCACTTGAAATTACCAAGTTTTGTAGTGGCTGGTGCCATCCAAAATGGAGATCCCAAATTGGTACCCAAAGATGGTTGGCTTGGACTTTTCCAGCTGAAACAACCATTTAGAGATGGATATCAATGGCTTCAATTGGGGCCTAGGTTTGTGCATTGAAAAACCATAGGCCATAGATTCGCCATAGATTGTCCAGAAAAAAACGGTTCATGTATGCAGTGAAACATTCCCGAGTTGCCTTATCTATATTTCTCTCTATAGTCTAAACAGTAAATTGTAGTAAAACAATATACCAAGAAATGATGTTTACATATTTTCACATACTGAAATACATCAATATGAAAAGACTAAATCCAGCAAACTCAATCAGTTCACCCATAAACACATGTCAACATTTATATACACAAGCAAATCAAATCAAATTCCAAACAATAAATATAGAACATGTAAGATCATCTGCTTGCAAGCACGGCTCTTTTGCTCGTGTGGTTTCAGAACTTGAAACATCAAATCAAATGCCACTAAACATCACCTCTCATGGCTTTGCGCATGGTTTTGTTCGCCTTTCAGGATCTGAATGTGACATTTTCCCACCACGGGAAGGGTAAAGCCAATTTGAATTGCTGAGATGGTCCAAAGACCTTTTTTGCGGCAGAGATGTCAAGACTACAACTTACAAGTGTAACATGCTCTAATCCACTTGCGTCACTGTACTACAGCTGGAACACACAAGAAACTCAAGAGCTTCTGTGACCGGGTTGTGTTCATAAGCTCACTACTTGCTACTTGCTACTTCTAAATATACTACAAACCACTTTCCGGGGGGCAGAGTTTATCCCGAGTTCCTTTATATGACATACTGGCCGCATACTGTATCATGTGTATATCATCTGTATCTTGGTCCAACCACGCCAAACATCCCACATCTGCCCTGCAAGGCCCTGTACCTTGACGTCAGAGAAGCGGATTTCTTGCTGCAGGCTTCCCTGGTGGCCGTGGCCAGGTTGGCAACCTCCGTCGGGGGGATCATGATATATCATGATCATTCACACACCTGAAGCGGAAAAAGAAAAAACATGTTTGGATATGTCAATGGGGATTCCAGGATCCTTATATAGGCCTTATATATGGTAGGTACCTCCAATTTAGGTTCCTGAAATGGCCATTGAATATGTTTGGGATGCAATTTCACCAACATTCTTCTTGAACGATTGTGAATTACCTGGCCAAATGTTAGTGACCTCGAGGGTACATTTCCAAGCCATACACGGCATGCAAAGTAAACCATGATACCAGCAACGGCCACCAAGCAATGGCTATGGATCAAAACCCTACGGTAACTGGTAATTGGTGAACATCAGCATAACTTGCAAATCGATGTCCATTCCCATCATAGCTTTTAACGTCATAACTTCATTCCGGCCTCTTTCACATTGAGAGCGCATGCATATGTGATATAAGTATGTGATGATGATGATGATGATGATGATGATGATGGTGATGGTGACTGTGATGGTGATGGTGATGGTGATGGTGATGGTGATGGTGGTGGTGGTGGTGGTGGTGGTGGTGGTGGTGGTATGATGATGATGATGATGATGATGATGATGATGATGATGATAATGATGATGATCACCATCACCACCACCACCACCACCACCATCATCATCATCATCGTCATCGTCATCGTCATCATCATCATCATCATCGTCGTCGTCGTCATCATCATCATCATCATCGTCATCATCATCATCATCGTCGTCATCATCATCATCATCGTCATCATCATCATCATCGTCGTCATCATCATCATCATCATCGTCATCATCATCATCGTCATCATCATCGTTATTGTGCTGGTCATGGTGTGTGTGTGTGCGCGCGCGTGGGTGTGTTTGTGTGTGCGCGTGTGTCCGCCTCTACGCAAGTTTGTCACATAAAAAGCCCGTTGAATCCGAGTCCCCACATAAAGACATGCCAGCTGTGACGGTGTTGTTCAGCCATCCGATCTTTCTCGAGAGCTTGGAAGAAGTTGCATTCCTTCTTCGCTAAAAAAGAACCCCTCACCCCCTGGGGAGATCATTGGATCATCCCCAACCACCATGGAGGTCAAACTCACCAAATCTCCCCAAATGGAGAAGTTATATATATATATATAAATTAATATACATATATATACAGTACCCATCCTTGTTAATCCTGCTACTTAGATGGGAGGTGAATTGGTTCACTTGTTAGTTGGGCCCATTTGCAAACATTTTTTGGCTGAGTATGAAATCAGCAACACATCAGAACCAACAATTCACCAATCTGACAAGTTCGGCCATTTCAGGCAACGTGTTGGTGAGACTATTTCACCTCTGCTCTTCCCGTCAGTGGCCAAGCAAATCTCCTCTTCGCAAATCCACCACCTTGCCTGCGGAACACCAACAGAGATGTGGCAGGAAAAAAGGCCCCGCTGCATGGGAACCCCGACTATTGACAGACCTGAGAACCACAAGTCCATTTAAGCCTGCAGCTCTGGGATTTAAATCAATCTTTAGTTTCTGTTCGATTTGGGTCTAGTATGGTCTAGTCAAGAATCACATATCATATAATCAATATCATCATCATACAATAAATAATCATTATAATCATCATAAAATATCATATAATCACTACGTGGATTGGATGTACATCGGTGCTCTGCTGTAAAGGGCCTCACTCCTGGAGGCATGCTGAGCACAGGCCGCAGAGCCCGCGGTTTCGCCGCGGCTGCGTAAAACGCGACGCGGCAGCCGCTTGAAGCTAAAAAGGTGGGACGAAGAATGGCCACGGTGGCAACACGTCCCAATTGGTGACTTGGGATCTTCCATCACAATATGTACTGTATTGCAAGATATTGCAAGGTTAAAATCGAGCCCAAGTCCGCAATTCCTATAGGGAAACATCCATAGTAATCATAAAAAGTAAAAACTAGCTCTTCTTACTAGTCACGATTTGCGGGATACTCCTCCAAGTGCAAATGTATTTGAAGGGTTAGCACATATCGCAACCAATCAGCCGCCGTGCTAATTTTGGCTTGTCTTCCGGAGTTGATACGACTTGGGGGCCGAGGCTGGATCTCTGTCAAAATTGTCGGACGATTCCAACCCCGGAAAACAAGAATGATCCCAATGATTAGGATAGTGGTATGATCCTTGATAGCTATTATAGTGCATTATAGTACTGTACGTGTATATAAATGGGTATGATCCAGTCCAAAGGGATGATAAGGATTGATAAGGATTTTGATCACTACCAAACTTCATTGCAAACACCATCTGAGGAGTCTTGGAGAGACAAATCCACAAACAAGGTCTCCAACATGCTCAGCATGCATAGCCAATTTATCCAATGCCCCAGTGCTGGGATGCTTTGAGATGGTCAGAGTGCTTCCAAGCGATGCACGCTTAACCGTATTGGGGGATGAGGCCAGCAAAAGTTCTGAGGCCAGCAACTTCATCATCGTGTCGCGGACCCATGAGTTACCAAATCATACCAAATCCCAGCATGTTTGTTGACATTCTTGGGGACCCTTGCATGCAACTTCTAAGTCTTCCTTTCTGGAATCTAGATTGTCCACCTCCACAGCATCATCATACTCATGCTCATGCTCCTCATCATCATCGTCATTACTAACAAACAGTATCCAAATCATCATCATGGCCAGCATCGCCAACATCAAAACAACAATCAAGCATCAAGACCATCCTTAAAAGCAATGCTGTTGGCCACGTCATCACCGAAGCCAGCTTGGGCATATCATCTCCAGTGCTGTCGCAGTGAGGTCATGACCATTTATCTAGATGTATATTGTAACATTTATATATATATACACATTTATTTTCAATTGTAACAAATGGAAAACCACTATCATCCACTATCCTGAAAAGAAACTCCTTCGATCTGCTTTGCCCATCGAAACTGTCCCACTTTTCCGCGCACACATAGGTCCATAGGTCGCCATGTGTTGAACGCTGCAGCTGCCGAGCTCACGCACCCTTTGACGCGAGCCAGAAGCTGTACCTGAAGGCAGCAGGTTGCCGAGGTCCAAGCAGTCCCTGCAATCTAGTTGTCAACTGGGATTCTCTTCCCAAGTTCTAGCACACAGAAACAGAGAGACAATCAACAAACTTCTTCCAGTTGGTTACCCTCTGGTAAACTAACAGTTTGCTATTGAACATGGCCCATAGAAATAGTGGATTTATCCATTAAAAATTGTGATTTTTCATAGTTATGTTAGTTTACTACTGGTTTCACCCCCTGAATCCCAGAAAACGCTGATCGTCATCCCAAACAAGGATGAAACATGGCGAAACCGGTTGAAACAAATGAAACCGCAAGCCAGTTGTTTTTTGCTATATTTCATGGATTATATATAGGTATATCATTAATTATATAAATCTCTCTCCATCGCCATCAGTATGATATATATATATGTATATATTTAAATATAAAATCAAATATATAGCTATTGAATTAATAATATTAAATATAATAAATATATAATAAAATATAATATGTATATTATATAATATATATGTGTGTGATATATATCCCAAGTCTTGCAAATGACAAGAACCACTTGAAACCCACCGCTTGGTTCCCTTTCGCTCAGGGCACCAGGGCCTCAGTACCTTGGCTTGCGGCATCTCCAATTGGATACATAAATGATGGGAATGTTTTGGACAATCAGATCGAATGCTGGTTAACAGAAGTTCCGGGAAATTGTAAATGAATGCTCTTGAACGAGATTGTACAATGTTCTAGGGTCCTGCACCACCAAGGTTGGCAAGGCAGTGTGCCCCTGATCCACTTAGGAAATGAAGCACACAATAATTATTTATTCACCTTCCTACCACGCCTACAAATCCAATCTCCAGGTGGAAAATCGAGGTTTGTTGGAGGGGAGGCTCATGGTGATTTTCACCAAGCCATCTTACTGGTTACATAATTATGAGGGCTTAGGCGGGCCAACCCTTTTCTGGCCAAGATACATCCTGGCTCGTTTGGCTGCGGGATCCATGTCACCAACCATGCCACCCATGGGATTTGCCATGCCGCCCATCATGGTGTTGCCCATTAGGCCTTGGATGCGCGTTTCAACATCCAAGGCGTCTGCCAATCACTGGGAATCGGAATCATCATCCCAGGGTGTAAAATGGAAATGCCCTATTTGGAACCACCCAGTCATGCTGAAAGGTTTCATCTTCAGATTCCTTGTCTCAACCCCACTAACGGAAGGTTCTTCCCGAGGGAAGCAATAGTCTTCCATGGAAGTGCTGATTTAAAATCGCCTGCTAGGGACTTCTTCAAGGCATGGTTGGACATGTTTCATCATTTTTCCAGAGATCCAGCGATGGTTCAAACCCAACATCTGCCCGCTGCCCTCTGCTGTGCTTTCCAACCCATTTCGCCCAGCACGGTGCTGGCGGCCTGGAAATAATTACAGGAAAACAATGTGTTTTTTTACTATGGGAAATAAGGTTTTTCCTGTAGAAAACTTTCCTTGAACCAATCCTGGGAACAAAATCTAAAATTATATACATATGTAATATATATATATACATATGTTATATATACATATGTAACATATATATATATAACACATATATATATATGTATATGTATAAATATATGTGTATACATATATGTAACAAATGTGTATATATATATATGTTATCTATCTATCTATGTGTATATACATATATATGTGATATATATATGTGTGTGTGTTATGTATATAATATGTTTTATATAAGATATATATATATAAATCTGATATATATATATATGATATATGTGACAATCAGTTGGGGATCACAATCCCAGGGTTGAAACGAAATTAACACATCTTTGACACCAACTGAATGTAGCCATGTCCAGACACAAAGTGCCACACAAAGTGGACCTGTTACATTCGCTCAGGGGTCGCCTTTCGGAACCTCACCATGCTGGTGTTCCCCCTGGCAATCCAAAGATGCCTCATTTCCATTCATTCATAGACCATGCTCCTTTCAAACATGTGGGGGTTCCAGTCATGTGTTTATATCATTTTATATTCCATGTTCATGTCTTAATCAAATATCCTTAATTCATGTTTAATTATTCAGATAGCCACTCCATGTCCAGAAAATGTAGAAAATATATATAGCACCCAAAAAAATTCTCCAAGAACATCCCGAAAACCAAAGCTTCCCCTGTGACCTGCAGGTCCTTTGCTTGGAGCTTGCCATTGCGAAGAACGGCCATAAAGGCAACCTTCGATTGGGTCCCCACACAAAAAAGTGATCTGCTACCAAAATGCTTTCCCCAACCACCAACAAAAATCGTGATTCAACCGCCTTTGGGGATAGATCGGGCCTATAGGCGCTATAGTATATCATGGAATATCAACAAGCCATGGGTTAGTATTGACCCAGGCTTAACATCAAATAAAGCCAGCCCTTACAATGGCCCCTGCACCATACCCGTCTCTTGGTCAAAAGTGTGCACCCCCCCCAAAAAAATGGGCCATCCACATCCACTGGCCATCCCAAGTCATAGTCGTCACACGGAAGGCTGGAAAATCATCTAGTTACACACACATACATACATACATACATACATATATATATATAATATACTAGTATATATGTATTTATATATATATATATATATTTATTTAAACAAATATATATATATATATATATGTATCTCATCCAGATACATCAAACTATTGAAGATGAGAATATTCTACCTAAAAACATCTAAAAACCATGGGAACTCAACCGGGCCAAGCTGGGGGCGCTGACACTCCAAGCGAAATGGGAATGGACCATCTTGGAATAGTCAAAGAATCGGGGCAGCATCAGTTCCACATATCATATATAAAACAATGGGATTTAGTGGTAATTTAATGGGGATTTACCATATCATGATCATATCTTCATCATTTTATGGTTTATCCCTTTTATCAGTCATTATTAATACAATGGATACTGTAGCTGATATACCCTCTGGTAATGACTAACAGTTAGCTACTGAAAATGGCCATAGAAATAGTTGAATTACCCATTAAAAATGGTGATTTTCTATAGCTATGTTAATTTACCAGGCCGGGTATATAAAACGACAGTTCCACCAGTCGCCGCTGAAACACATCGCGGTTTCGCAGCACCTCATCGCCAGCTTCAAAGGTCCCTTTGTTCTTTGAATGGAGAAACACATCTCCTTGATATCCCTGGCGAAACAAGCCCAAACCAGGAAGCTGGAAGCGGCAGAGTCAGATGTCACGTCATCCCAGCATCTACACCACTGGAAATCCTGAAATGTGTTTCGAATGGAACCATTCGAACCTGAAGGCAAAATGAGTTTGGAACATGAATTTTCACATATATATATATAGTATACAGTATCTCAGTATGTATTAGAAATGACCACAGGTTTGTTTCATCAATGGCAATGCTGAAACAGCATTTTTTTCGGATCAGCCTGGAGGTTGAGCGCCTCGCAGAAAATGAAACCAAATCCTTTCTCGTGGTTGTAGTTTTTAATCTTCCCCACCTCAGGCATGGATCGTTGTGAAGGATCAGTCATGGATCAGTGATGGATGATTCATGATGATGATCATGATGATGATCATGATGATGATCATGATGATGATGATGATGATGATGATGATGGATGTGGAAGCCAATGATGGCTGCCAATGATGCCAACTCTGGATTTTTGCCCTGACTTCACTGCAATCCAGTCACTACGCCCGGCTGGGATGATCATAAAAATCACCCAGTTCCAGCAACAAATTCGCTATGGGATGCGTTTGGGGCATCAATTTCAGAAATCTTCAAACCAGTTACTTCCCATTGACTTTGCAGGGGATGAAAACGGGATGTAATCCCTTAACCGCTTCAAGCAGTCAAGAAACATTCAAGCATTGAAGTATAACCTATGCACATGAAACATTTATTCATATCATCAAAAATACACAACCGATAAAATTAGAGAGCGGGGGACCGTGGGAGTGCGTTTTTTGTTAGTTTTACAGTATGTTGGTGGTGCTAATTCTTCATACACATGATCATGCCTGATGTCTCTGCCAAGATGTTTATCCAAAGAAGATGCCACCAGCCAAAAAAGAAACAGTAAACATTACAAATAGTCGGTGGAGGGGAAACAGTATTGATAGATTACTATACCCTAGTAAGCCAAACCATTTTGAAACAGCTGCAAATGCAACCCTTTAAGCACCCATGAACATTATGAGGCATTCATCTATCAGATACAGTGTTGCCTTGGCAACATCTTCATTTCAAAATAGACCTTTCATTTATAAGCTGCAATTTTCCTTCAAGGCAAGGCATTACTTCTTTCAAGAAAACATATCCCTACAAAATACTATAAAGCAGTCCTCTAAACATGCAGCGTTCCTTTCTGTAGAAGTGTGTTTGTTCTTCCTTTCATAGTAATATTAAGCGTGCCTTCAATCATACAGTATGTCTTTCAAAACATCAGATTCCTACACAACATGCAGTGTGTGATTGACATTCAGTATTGCTGTCAAAAGGTGCAATGGCCGATGCACATTGCAGCAGTCCTTGAAACAAGAAAAAATACTGTTGGAGGAACATCCTGCTTATAGGCTGCAATCTGCCTTATATTTCCTTCAATAAGAAGCAACATGCTTGCAAGAAAACAAACATGTGTGGACAAATGCAATACATCCTCTGATGAGGTTGAGCATCATTCTTATTTTTCTCCATGGCATTTGCTTTTGACGGAGAGACTTCACTTCTTCAAAAGAATGGCCTTGAAGACAAGATAATTCCTGAAATAAAAAGCAATATTCTTGCAGAAATACAATATGTGAACAAACGCAATACATCCTTAATGAAGTTAAGCCTCACCATCATTTTTTCTGCATAACATTTGCTTTAAACGGAAAGATTCCACTTCTTAAAAATGATGTTTGTTTAGTTCTGTTGTTTCACTCATATGGAAGGGCATACTGCATACATGCAACCATGTCTCTTCCCAAAAGTATTAAGTATTATATACATACACTTCTACTTCACAATAATGATTCTTTAAATTTATATTATTGCATATTTTTCAATCAATTGGTTCACAGCCTTATCAAGTTTTTTTCCCGGAAGCTTTGCGCATACTAGCGCCAACACGTTCTGAAATAGGAAGACCATATTCATTTAAAATAGGTACTCAAAGGATTCCAATCTGACATATTGTTGTCTTGGAGCTTTGCACAGCTTTGAAAATGACTGACTGGATTCATGTCAAATAAATGCTGCACTCCCTTATGTAAGGGGACTGTACAAAATGATGCCACTTTTTGCAAGGAAAGATGTGACTTTATGCTAGGAATGTCATTATCGGTAAAAAATCTTGCTGCACAAGGCATGTGTTGGAGGGTTTGAAAGCACATGTCAAAGGCCATGCTGAAACTTGTTTGCTGATTATATTTTCAAGTCTTGGCTGTGTTGTATTTCCTCCCAAGGTTTCAAGTAACTTTCTGGGAGGGTGCCCAAACCATGAGAAAATCAACAAAGCATGCAAACCTGGATGATATCCATGAGGTGTGGCTCAGTAATGCTCAGTAGACATGGGTCAACCACTCATGGGCCTCCATTGGTTTGTTTTGTTGTTCCATTAGGTTTTAGAAATGTTGGGCACAAGTTGGAAAAACCGCGAGAAAACCTATCAATTTCTTCAATGCTATCTGCACATTGCTCTTCTGCTTTGGCATCCAACTCACTATACAAAACCCCGAAAAAACAAAAAACAACAAAGCAGTGGAGGTCCATGATTGGTTGAGACATAGGGTTGTTTTTTGTTTGGTTTGGATGCCAAAGCAGAAGAGCAAGTGCAAACAACATTAAAGAAATTGATTGTGTTTAATTAATGGTTTTGCCAATGACGAATATATATATATATATGCATATGGTTTCCGACCAGAAAAAAACGAGGTAAATAAACTAAGTCATATGCAGAAAAGTTGCACTCCCCCAGCCCCCTGTTCTGTAAAATTACCCTCTTGTAAACTAACATATCTATTGAAAATGGCCATAGAAATAGTGGATTTTCCCATTGAAAATGGCGATTTTCCATAGTTATGTTAGTTTACCAGAGGGTAATCCCCCTTTCCATCAATTTCCAGGGTCCCAAAGTGCATCCCCTGAGTGGGCCACAAAGACTCCCAGCTCTTGTTCTTCTCCGCCCGTGGGCAGGGGCGCGAAGCCTGCCGTGTCTTTTTGGTGTCTTTTTGGTTTTCAAGAAAGACTGGGCCCTAGCCATAGCTAATATTTATATAGATTATATCTATATATATATATATGCATATTCCATGTGATATTTTTTTTGGACATTTTACTGTATATGATATTCATTAACTTTGCATATATATATATACACACACGTATATCTATATGTGTGCGTGCGTATGAATAAATATATATATATACATATATATAATACAAATACATAAACCTATGTATATATATATGTACATATATATATATGTATACATATGTATATAATTATATATATATATATGTGTGTGTTCTATGGTTTTGTCTGAAAATAGGGGTGTAGCCTCAAAAAAAGACATCAACCATCAAGTCTGGGGTAGCAGTTGTTCGCGTGGAGCTAGAAACAAACATAGATCTATAGATCTATAAGAAGACAAAGTTCCAGCAAATTGCATCCAGGTTCTCCAGCTCTCCCATAAGACTGGATCCGAGTGGATGTTCACCGCTTTCAAGACCAAGCAAATTAGATGATCTTAGATTGACACGGGCCGAATAAGTGGCCAATTCAGTTTCAGGGTGTGACTATTACAATTTCTCGCCAGATATATTTGTATACATTCAATTTCATTCATTGATATAGTGTATATTTTAATAAAATACAGAGATGCATAATATAATAACATCATCATATCAACTATAATGAGGAATTATATGGAATTCACATATAATCACAATATCCACATATAATGTATGGTTGATATCAACTATATTGTATGACATTTATCAACATCATATCAACACCATATCCACATACGAAAAAACAAATACCGCGCCGCCTGTCTGTGGACCCACCATGCCAGTGGCGTCCTGGAACGCCGTTGAAATTTTTGGACCAATTCTCGACGTGTTTTTTTTTGTTAAGGAAAAAGGTGGTTGGATAATGTTGGATAATGTTGGTTAATGTTGGATAATGTTGGTTAACCTAATAATATAATAAATAATATAAATATATAATAATAGTAATAGTAACCCAATTTACTATAGTAACCACTATGAATATCACTATAGTAACCACTATCAACCATTATTAACTGGTTGGTGGTTTTAACCATCTTGAAAAACATGAGTTCGTCAATGGGAAGGATGACATCCCATATATGAAATGGAAAATAAAAAACATGTTCCAAACCAACCAGTGGTTAATGTTGGTTAACCCAATAGTCACCCCATTTTTTTTGCATGAATAGCTTCCACATTTCCATTGGCGGCTGATCTTCCAACTTAACTGTGGTATATCTATGTATACCCAATAGTAATCCCAAATGGTTGGCGAATGGGATGCTATCGGATGGTTTATTAATTATTGGGTTTACTACGTTCTTTGACTCGGAACTGACCAAATCATACCAAATCTCTCCGAGATGTGGGTCATACCCTGTGTTTTTATGCGTAAAAATGAAAAAAAGGCCACCACTTCCCAGCGCTCGCGGCGCTCCTGAAGTTCCCGCCCCTGGAGTCTGCCGTTGTGCAAATATGCCTGGAATTTCACCTCTTGACCCACCTGGCGCAGCAAGTCATCAAAGGATTTGCCGAAGTTGAAACCCATGCTGACGACTAAAAATCCCCCATGACGTAGGAAACCTCCAAATTGATGCAAATGATGTGGAACATATATCATATTATTCTGAACAGCTTGGGATGTTGCATCATGTTGCAAACCTCGATGATTTACAGTATTGATGTCTTTTTGCTGCATGCAACATACGAAATGCGGTTTTTTCGACAATGAAGAACTCGGGGTTCTGCCAAATCGTCCCTTCATTTTCTTTATTGATCACAAGATAGAACAAGTATGCAGCTTTATGTAGAATGATTGGTGACATTGCGTGCGTAAGTTCCAACGCCATTTCATGCCATTTCTATCTATCTATCTATCTATCTATCTATATCTAATCAAATCTAATCTAATCTAATCTATCTATCTACATATCTATCTATCTATCTATCTAATCTATTCTAATCTAATCTAATCTATTCTAATCTAATCTATATAATCTAATCTAATCTATTCTATCTATATACATGTAACTCATGTACTTAACTGCTCGAATAAACGACCAGCTGGGTTTCAATCGCCCTGAGAAATATATAGAAATCAGTTATGGTCAGTTGGGATCATGCCCCAAAACAGTTGAAACCGGCAAGCAGATTGTTGGCTATGACTGGCTATCCCCATTAGATCGACCAAGTTTCACCATTTTTGCTGATCAACTCCCCACATTCGATGCTTAGCAAAATCATCAGGTGCCTTGAAGTCACCTATGTGCCGACTGTGCAGGTAGACCTCAGCTTATTAGCAGATTGGCATTGCCATCTTTGATCTAGGATGATCTAGGAATCTGGGATCGCACAATATCGCACATCTCTCCTTCCTCTCTCTCCATTGCCTTCTCAAGGAACCTAGCAGAGCTAAATAAACACGAGTAAGGCAGAAGTTCACCAAGCGGAGCTAGCAAATACTCCCATGTGATTATGGCCACCAACCATAGTAGTTAGGCTATTTTGCTCGTCTATCTTTTCATTCTTTTCTGTCTTTTTCTCTCTAAGGATTAAACTACGAGTACGCAACCAAGGTAGTGGACAGCTCCTGTTTCTCCCTTGTGGTGACGCTGAGATTGCCACATCACCATCATGCTGATTCTTCAGCGCATCGCATACTATGAACCTCAGCACAAGGCTTCATTGGAGATCAGAAACAACGACTTTAGTTCATTGGGTTCGTTGGAGGCCTTCAGCCGAGAAATCCGAGAACAAAAGAAGAATTGTAGCCTTCGGTAAACTAATAGTTTGCAATGGAAAATCATCATTTTTTTAAAGGCAATAAATCGACATAAATCAACTATTTCTATGGCCATTCAATAGGTCAGTCGATGGTCACCCGACAAATCTGGGTCCCCCTGCCCAAATCCTTTCTCAGGATTGTAGCTCCTCAGGCTGAAATCATGCTAGAGCTGGGTCCAATCTTTAGAACCGTTGGTGGCCGTGAACTATGTCCTCATCTGGTTAAACATGTGCAACTTTAGTGACTTTAGTGAACTTTAGTGGTTTGAGATTCGGTAGTAGTTGGCAATCTCAACACTCGTGTCGCTCATGGACGTACTATATAACTTCTGTGAATCCACAAACACTGATGGCATCTGGCTGCGCAGCACGGCCCTCTCATGCGGGAAAGTGCCCAACATTCACCTCATAGGTATCTAATCTACTCCAACTGGTGTCCACATTCCTGGCAGGTCAGACTTAGCCAGGAAACTTCACGATGCCATAGAATTCTCCCAGCACTTCTTGATCTCGGCGCAGCCGGGGCCATGGATTATCGACGCCACCGGACTGATTACCTATGGAGGTTCAGTCCAACAATCCAACATTAAACCTTTAAACATTGCCATTTACAGGTGCCCTAACTCATCCTCCAAACGCCTCCAAACCTCCAAAGCCAGCATTTCGGGAGATTGGTGCTGCACATCCGGTCATGCCCAGGTACTCATGGGCGCGGAGTGTTTCCCTGGCAGCCCTATGCCTGGGTCAATCATGGTCAATCTCTGAAGGTTTGTGTTGGGGCCATGAACAAAGCTGGGATGGTTGGAATATGATGGCTTTCCGCTTCAATGCCCCTCAAATTGCCCATTCAAGTTGATCTATCAAGGTTTCAAGTCTCAACAGTACATTCTGGACCTAGCACTTGCCCCTTCTGGCCCCGGTGCATCACGCATCGCTTGCGTCTGTTTTGCTGCAGCTTCCAGCGTCCAATGATTCTGTACATGCTAGAAAACGCTGATTTCCGGCCACTTCCTTCGTCTCCGGACAGCCTCTTTGCGCGGCTCAGGCCATCCAAATCCATCCAAGCTGACTGCACATAACTGCACTATCATTGCTCCACTTGTGATACTGCAACGATACCTCCTCGTGTTTGTTGAAATGTTTGCTCCGCAAACTTGCGGAGGGCAGCTCTGGGGAGTCGCGGTCCAACGACCCAAGCAGCCGTTTTGCACTGCCGTGGAAGCCTAGTCCAGGAACCATTGAACCAAGGCCCCGAGTGCTGCCACCAGAAGTACTGCTGGTGCTCCACCGAAGGGGATCTGACCTCACTTCGCTGAAGTTGTGGCTGCTTGAGAGCTGGATGTGGCACGATGGAGGATCGTTTTCCCAGTATAGGCAATCCTGCTAAATAAGCATTCAACACAAAACCAAGGCTTCTGGGTGATGTCTATAGTTTTCAGGGAAGGAACTATATTGGATGTGGTCATGTTCGGGTTTCCCATGGTTTCCCTACTCAGCCTCTCGACTCCGCATCTACCAAACTTATCAGCATCGTTCGAGCAGCAATGGCTGAAATGCCAAGCAGCGATGCGCACACATGGAAATCGCGGAGGCTGCATTCACAGCCACAAGCGCGCCCAAAATGCTGGTAGCCAACCTGGGCCATTCCAAACCAAGCACCCGCATCTAGGGATCTAAATCAACCGTAGATCCTAGTAGCAAAGCGAGACACCAGGGTGATTGCTGAAGTGAAGAGATCCATGGGTTGTTACCGGTGCTAATCCCTTACTGAATTCTACTTTGTTCTAAATTCCTAAATTATCCGGGTGTTTTAGCATGTCCAATTTCATTGATGATTCATTGATGATCCCAGTGCTATCAAAATGTGTAGGGGAAACATTGCGGACCTTGCAAAATTCACTTCTTCCTTCACCAGTTGAACACCTTTTTGATTCACAACGCAGGGAGAAAACACGACTCAAACTGCCTGAAATAAAGGGAACGTAACGGACCACACCACGGAAACTTTATTTATTCTATGTTCATGTTCGCTTCCATACTCCGATCAATCCTTTGGCTGTGAGACTTGGTGTCCAGCCCCTAGAAAGATCATGAGCTGGCTGCAAGTTGCTGCAAGTAGCCGGCTCCACCTTTCTTATCCTTTCTTCACATCAAGTTCATCAAAGCATCACTTTTTTAATACTTGTTTGATCCAACTAAAAGGTGCAGTTGAGTGGCACAAAAAGTATCTTGCTCCAACCCCTGCTGTGCCATGACACGGCCAGTGCTACCGGGATGCCTGGCAACGTGCGAAGATGTGCGAAGAGACCGGATGCGGATCATTCAGTTGTATGATGTTTGGGTATGTTTGGGTAATGGATGCAACAAAAACATACAAAAAGGAGGAACTTGGATGTGTTTGCCCCATGTTTCGTCCGCCAACTTGACGTTGAGAGTACCCTTTGGTAAACTGACATAGCCATAGCTATTGAAAATGGCCATAGAAATAGTTAATTTACCCATTAAAAATGGTGGTTTTCCATAGCTATGTCAGCTATGTTCTCTCCAAATTCCCTTCACCTAGAGTCAAGACCGCGAAGGCATCCCAGCCGGCGTAGTCCGCACCAAGGGCGCTGGAGACCTCCATCCGTGTCATGGAGGTGGAGGTGGGAACACTTGAAGCTGTCAACGATTATCATTACATTTAAATCATTATCTATAATTATCTATAATTATCTATTATTATCTATTATCTATTATTGTGAATTATTATTATCTATTATATACTTGTTTCTACTATTATATATATATATTATATATATATATTATATATATTATATATATATATATTATAATGCAGGTGAAACATGTGCCGCTCCAAACGTTTTTCACGCACTGGTGCCATGGCCCGACAAACTGCACAAACAAAGTTTCAGCCTGTGAGGACACCAGGTCTACCAAGAGCACGACCACCAGGAAGCCAGTGATAGCGCCCAAAAAGGTGTCCAACAGTTGCCTCGGATTCATGTGGATTTTTTTTTTTAAATGTTTGTTGATGAGCTGTTGGAATGGTTAAATATACAAATATAGAACTAAACTTTTGAACATGGATTGTATTTTACAAACAGTGTGTGTATATAATATATATATATATAATCATACAGTAATTATACGGGCAAACCCCTCAGTTTGCCCGCGCCGACGCCGACGACATGTCCGAACATCAAAAAACACAGTGTTTTGTGGGACAAAATGCACATGTCCATGATCATGGCTTTCATGTTGCAACGCACAGCTTAGCTACCTGTGCGTTGAATGTTACAACAACAACATCATCATCAACATCATGAACAACATCATCATCATCATCATCAAACCCTTATTGAAGATCTTCAATGAATGTACAAGTTTAACGGGGTGGGACAATTAAACCCTTATTGAAGATCTTCAATGAATGTAGAAGTTTGAAGGGGGTGGGAGAATTAAACCCTTATTGAAGATCTCCAATGAATGTAGAAGTTTGAAGGGGGTGGGAGAATAAAACCCTTATTGAAGATCTTCAATGAATGTAGAAGTTTAACGGGGGTGGGAATTTATATTCCTAATATCCTTGTTGATCTCGCAATTGAATGTAAAGTTTAACGTGGGTCGGAATTTACATTCCTTCAAAGTCCCCCTAAGAAGTTGTGTGGGCGAACTGGGGGGTTTGCGCGTAATTATACATTTATATTATATTATATTACATTATATTATATTATATTCTACTGTATTATACTATAATAAATTAAATTATATTATAGACTATAATATATTATATTATAATTATTATACAAAATTATATTATACTACATGAGATTATATTAGACTATATTGGATTATATTATACTATATTAAACTATATTATATTTTGTTATTTGATAAAATATGATATGATATTATATTATATGATATTGAATGATATATATTAGATAAATGTGTGTAATATTATATGTATACACAAAACATATAATATCATATAATTAATATCATATGACATTTGTCATGTACATATGATATGCAGAATCACATGCTATAGGCAAACAAAGAGTTGCCAAACAACATTCAACACTGCCTAAAGAGGCGACTGCCCTTAAAGGACTTGGTTCATTTTTCTGGCCTTTGTGGCCCCTTCGCCAGGCGACTCCAAGAAAGACTTCATTTTTGGAGCCCATGCACGTGCAAGCAAGGCCCACAGGACACAGCAAAAGCTGATCACCTCGGTGGGACGTAAATCCAAATGCCAAAGCCTAGTTGGGTTGTTGTTTGTGCCCAGCAAACCATCAAATCTCCAAAATTAGATAAGTGTTGGTACCTGCAGGAAGTCATAGGAAGTCGGTATATTATAGGGGTTACGAAGGTTTACTATTGGGAGACAAGGTAACCATCGGCATCTTTCGGCCCGGGGTTTGAAGATCGGCGGGGTGCTAGCTTCTTTCCAAGGCTTCGAGTGCCAGTCTGCAGCCACTGGGTGCCAATGACAGCTTCCACGGCAAAAGCAAAGAGGCATAGGAAAGCTCCAAAGGCTCGACTGTACCTCAGAGCCGTGACCTTTCAAATGGGTCAAACATGGCATCTGGCAGCTCCCCGAACTCAATGGAGGTTTAAAACGCTCGGAATTAGCTGGGGAAATATGGGGAAATGTTTCTGTATAAATTTCTAATATGTTCTAATCATCATTTTATCTACAGCTGGCTGTGAGGCCAGTCATGGCTACTGTAAGGCCACATCCGCATTTTTTTGCTGGCTTAGTTCAAGGGAAAAATGGTTACAACATATTACAAATTACAATCTTACCTCAAATATATCAAACCAATTCGAGAATTTTCGGATCAAACCCGCAAGAGAGTAAAACATACCACTGGTGGTAGCGGGCTGATGGGCACGGGGAAGTCTTCTACCCCAGACCATACCATACCTCCTTGCATGCTGATGCCATGTTTGGGATTTGGGATTTTGAGAGCTAAAATCATCCCAGGAAAAAAAATGTTTCTTTGTTTGAACCCATCCCAAGGCTTCTTGTCCAAATATGCTTGACCATTCAATGATAAATGTTTAAACCTTTTGAAACCACCAATCAGCATATATCATAGATTGTAGATGATTATAGATGAGTGTAGTAGTATGAAATCTATCGTCATATCACCCATTTCCAGGCTCAGTCGATGCAAATTTTCGACTGGGGCAAGGTGCAAGCGATAGCCGAAGAAGGCAATGCCCAAGCCCACGGCGCAAAGAATCGAGGCAAACACAGTGACCCACACACCGCAGGGACCGGAGCCTCAGAAACGGGTCTTGAAAGGGCAACCGATGATGCCTTGTGATGCCTTGGGCAGAAGTAGCATTAAGATGCTTTAAGATGCTTTAAGTAGGATTTGAAGATGATGAATATGGGAAGTCCCCAAAAGCATTGACCTTAGCCTGCCCAGCTTTTCGAGTGGGGGTACCCTGCAGCCAAGTTGACCCCAAGCAGCATCAAAGAAACTCTGCAACATTGCTCGATGTCGCGAAAAGTGGCAAAGCTTTGTACTTGTTGTGCCAACCAAGTGCTCGTTGGGCTCACGACACATTCACTGCAAACATTTTAGCAAAGCTCTTTTAAGTCCCTTTTATATATTAAAGTGAAACGGGGCCAATGATGCTAACTCCGAAGCAAAGAAACGCATCGTCCATGTATATAATATAATGTATATGTCATTGTATGTCCATTGCATGGAATATTCACCAACAAAATATGGGTATGGGATAGTATGGTCAGTATGGGTGATAGGTCCTGACCAGCCCATCGTGGGAGCCGAAAAGAAGGCCACCCTGGCCATGCTGAATTTCTTTGTTGGTTCACGAAAACATGGTATACCCAAATGTGGGACATGGCCGTGACATAGCCTGCAATACTGGGGAAAAATATGGGACACATATCCCTGCATCAAACTTTATAATACTGTATGCCAAGCAAACATTTGGCCAAATTGACAAAAACTCGCAGCTTTTCAAACACTGACTAATACTATCAATCGGCCTCCAGCAGAGGTTAACCGAAAAGCATCTATACGAAAGGAGGCACCTTCCATTTCCAAGATTTTGCTAACACATTTTACAACATTGGATGGCTATGTATGAACCCGCTCATCTCCGGCATGCACACGTACTGAAAAACCATAGCATAAAATCGCCAAAATAAAAAAACTGTTATGCAGTAGGAATATCTTTGAACAAATTGCTTCTGGCTTCGTGTGGTTTCATGCTTGACTTTCCAGGTGCAATGTATAAGTCTCCGCTTGTCAATCTATGATGAACGGGCGGAATAGCCACACCAAACAGATCCAGGAAATCAACGGAAGGATGCCTCCCTTGCCGCTTTGGAGTCCTCATCTTGCCCTTAGATCTATTCACAAGCGCCAGCGATTGGAAGCGAGCTCGGCATCATTCCGACACCGAGGCCGCTTGATTTTGCATGCGCAAGAAAGTGAATCGCCCTTGGTTGGCCGACATTCCAACCAGCAGGTGCTGGTCAATTCGTTGCAGCTAACGAAATATATGAATTACTTGCGTGAGCATGCGTGAGCTACTGTGCAAGAAACGGCACCATCCTGGGAGTGACGTAACGGAAGATGATCGAAAACTGGGTTGCTAAAACATCGCAGGAAATGACTGGTCTGTTCACATCAGCAGGTTCGTCATGGTTTGCTTAGAGGCAAGCAGCGCAAGTTGCATGATGAAACTTGGGGGTATGGGTGCCGCTTCATGGCATTCTGCCATCGCGCTCACGCAAATCCACAGAACTTGGGAACTCTTTGGCAGTGGGAACCAGAAAAACGTCTGTGTTTGGGATGTATCAAGTTGGTACTTTGATGTACTTTGTGTGCAATCATCAGTTGCACAAGTTGCACAAGTCTACAAATGCCAAGGTTTCAGCTCCTAGGTGCACCCTGGTGACAAATTGGTGCACTGCTCATTGCTCCCAACATCATTCCAATCTGGCTCTCAACTGCCCACGACGGCGTTGCGCCAGCGTCGTGCCATGGTTACTGTTAGTGCCAATGGGACGCTGCAAACTATCCATGTCTATCCATGTCTATCACCCATTTATTGCGTAAACTACCCCAAACAGCTACACGATGAGGCCCGTCCAACTATATAGATATTACATCCGCAATAAAGAAACGACCGGATGATTTCTGATGCATCCGCGTTCCAGCTCATTGCACTAGAAGACCTCCACATGAATCTGCCTGAATCCGAAGGCTCGGAATGCAGAAATCAGCGACTTCAACGAATTTCATGATCCAGCTATATGGAGGTTTCCCAAAATAGGGGTATCCCCCATATCATCCAATTTAATAGGATTTTCTCTTATAAACCATCCATTTTGGATATCGTCATTTATGGAACCCCCCATACAGTATCCGGCTTTCATTCGCTTTTTGCATCTTTTTGCGTCTTACCGGATCAAGAAACCAATCACTGCGTTCAATGTTCATCACTTCTGATCATCGCTTACACGTTACTCACTTAGCCAATCATTCACTGCCAAAATGGCCCATGTCAAATTTTGACAAGTGTTTGGTCAAGAAAGTCCCCCAACATGAGAATGTCAAGATCATCGTTCGAACAATACACGCTTGGTTGGTTCACAGGCGGTTCACATAACCAAATTCATGCAGCATGCCTGAACCGGCAAGAGAGACTCAAAAGAAACCCGCATGTGCCAAATTCGAGTCCCCAAACAAATTGGCCAGTTGTTGTTGTTGTTGTTGTCGTTGTCGTGGTTGTTGTTGTTGGTGGCCCTCCCTTTCCCTGTCCAAAACACAAGTCCCGGGCTCCCGGGTCTTAAAAATAACAACACACCTTAGCTGCCTTAGCTACTCCTCCAAAAAGAACTTGGCAGCAGGATATGGTATTCCGTGTATCTACAACCACGTGTACGTATATAGAAACTCGTAAAAAGATGAAAAGGTACAATTTGCCAAAGTAGTTGCAGGATGTTGCCATTCTAACTTCCAGGGAGTTACTACAACTTTATCCTCTGGTACTCAAAAGAAGTGGAAATGGAACATTCCTTATTAGTTTTGATAAATAACCCATAAATCCTCCAGTTATAGTGGGTCTTCCAGCTAGAGTCAGCTACTGTAGACATGTTTGATTCCCAAAGCATGCACATATTGCTGGTTAAGTTATATCCTAAGAATATCCTCAGAATAGCCATGTTCATCACATATATCATATGTGGGTTAAAAAAAAAACATGAACCACCCCCCAGTCATCACCATCTTTATAAGTGTTACAAGATGGTATGTTACCATTCCCAAATTCCCCAGTCATCACCATTTTTATGTGGTATAAGATGGTATAAACCATCCAGTCATCACCATTTTTATGTGTGGTATGAACCCCAACTGGGTGGTTTTTGGCATTGTTTTACCGAAAAAACATGCCCCCTTCACCAGCTACCGGGTACCGAAAACCGCCTGGACTTGCCCTGAAAGGTGATCTGCACCGCAAAGCCCAAGCACACCAGAAGAATTGCTGAGACATCCCTGGGAGTGTTACGGGCAACTTATATAAATGTACATATATATATATTATATATACACTGTGTAAACACTATGTGTATATATATATATTTATATGTATATATATATGTATATATATATATATATGTAGGTGTGTGTGATATCTGTCAGTTGGGGAACACTTACATAAATAATCATTCAAAGTTGGTATGAAGAATGGAATTCCTGAAGCCACACATGATCTCACAAGAAGTGAGGCTATCGAGCATCAATTAAGCAACAAATTCATTGCCAAATTCTGTGCGTGTGTCTGGAGGAACAAGGTGGGCAAAATTCGGGCCGACCTGCATGTCATGTGAATTTTGTTTCTCCCTTGAACTCCCTTGAGCTACACACCGTACTATCAAAAGGGCCACGACTAGTTCACATGGTTTCTGCGTCACCATATTGTGAGTCTTAGTATCCACATGACAGGTGGCTAGATTGGATACGTCAAGTTTTATTTCTTGCAAGCCAAGTGTTGTTGCTTAAACTTGCAGCTAACATCTTCAATATACAGTAACCCTTCCTTGGAGGTTAGCCGCCCCAAATGGACTGGGCCAACGCGTTTAGATGAAACGGTTCAATACTAAAAAACCAATGATTGCCGGCCAATTGGCACTACATACTGAGCCACAGCCAGACTTTGGGAAAAACTGTCGGCAGCTCACATATCAACATTGCAGAACCAGGCGCTCAAGCAGCGCTTCCGGAACCAAACGTACATTCATGCATGTCATCAGAGTGTCTACCTCAAGCGGCAAGGACATGGATCCAAAAGAGGTTGCACAACAACTTCACTAGGCAAAGTAAATGCATCCGTACATAACTTCAGGTATACATGAGTCCATGTCTTAAACTTGCTAGTGCCTATGTATATATATATATGTAAATACATATACATATGTATATATATATATATACGTATATGTATATATATATATATGTGTATATATATATGTATATATATATATAATATGTATATATATATATATGTATATATATATACACACGTGTATATGTGCATACATACACATGATTACACATGCATGTCAGCATGTATGCAATATATGCAGCTACACGTACACACAGAGACATCAAATAAATAAACAAATAAATAAATATATTTATATCTCATATATATCATATGTATATATATATATATTAAATTTCACGAGCTCCTGGGATTTTGTGATTTTTAGGGAATATTGGATATCAAGGTCAAGATGCAATATTTGGTGCAGTGTACGCGCACAAGGGTCGCACAAAAAACTTAAGCGTCATGGTTTGCACGGGTTTGCACTGGATCAGCCTTCCATAAATGGAATTGGTCCAATTAATCGTTCAGAAAAAATGAAACGGTCGGAAACGGTCGGAAACGGTCGGAAACGGTCGGAAACATGATCAGGCCAAAACTTGTCCAACCCGCATTTCTTAAAAAAAACATTTCCGCGCAACGCAGTTTTTTTTTTGAAGGTCCAAAGGTGTCCAAGGGGAAACGGTTGGAAACAGTCGGAGATCGCACCTTCGCTCGGCAAAAAAGTAGTTGTTTTGTAGCATATGTTCATGAAACATGTTTGAAAATTATGTAAAAACATGTCTTTTTTGCCGAGCGAAGGTGCGATCTCCGACTGTTTCCAACCGTTTCCCCTTGGACACCTTTGGACCTTCAAAAAAAAAACTGCGTTGCGCGGAAATGTTTTTTTTAAAGAAATGCGGGTTGGACAAGTTTTGGCCTGATCATGTTTCCGACCGTTTCCGACCGTTTCATTTTTTCTGAACGATTAATTGGACCAATTCCATTTATGGAAGGCTGATCCAGTGCAAACCCGTGCAAACCATGACGCTTAAGTTTTTTCGTGCGACCCTTGTGCGCGTACACTGCACCAAATATTGCATCTTGACCTTGATATCCAATATTCCCTAAAAATCACAAAATCCCAGGAGCTCGTGAAATTTAATATATATATATATATCACATATATATATATATCATATATATATTATGCATATCTAAATGCATACATCCTGTATATACCAATGATAATGATTGATAGTGCATATGATTGTGTACGCATCTCTTTTGTGAACGCTTCCATTTCCAATGCCTCCCAGGGGCAGAGAGGACGGTGAGAGCCGAGCCCAAGATACTGGTTACCAGCATGAAGAGGTACTTCACCTGCCGCCAAGCCACTGGATCTACTGTAGGCCATGGTGAGTTTGCGAACTGGTGATCACCACTGGGTTATCCCCTTGTACTTGTATTTGGACATATATATATATAGTATATATATATAGAGTATATATATATAATGTTATAAAATAATTATATATAATTGGTTATAATGATACATAGCTAAGCCAGCTGAGATCAAGTTGACGAACCCCGCTGTCTAAGTACAGGAGATGTCCAGAATGGAACTAAAAACGTATGAATCAAGAAGTGGATGTCATTAGAGCTACCCTCTGGGAAGTGAATATAGCTATCAAAAATGGCCATGTATAGGTGATTTACCCATTGAAAAATGAATCATGTTCCATAGCTGCCATGTTAGTTGACCAAAGGGTAGAGGCTTTGTTGAATTCTACAACCCCCGCCTTGCATCTGGGATGGAAGTTGATTGATCAACCATGATATTGGATAGGTATACAAACCATGAGGTATACCTCATCCATGGGTATACATCTACCACCTACATGGCTAAAAAAATTGATTCTCGTTCTATCTTGGCTTCCAAATTTTGAGACAAACCTCCTGATACTGGAGGAATGACATGATCATCCAGGCACCTCCAATGGATCTCAAAAATCACCAACGCATACCAACGCTAATTATCCAAACATTGTCCGCAACGAAAACGAACCCGTCCCTAGGGTATTCTCACCTGTATGTCCTGGCAAATTGATCAAACATGGTAGTCTTTTATGGCATTGGGTGTCCCACATTAGTACATGGGTATCCTCGTCTGTTGCCAGGGGGGGTGGAACCCCTAAAGAAATAAAATAAAATGCAGGGGCCTAAGGACAAAATGCCAATAAAATGAGAGGGCATAAGGTAAGATAGGAAAACGCAACCAATTTACAATGGACAGGTACAAAAAGAAAATGACGTCAGGCACCCTCCACCTGGCCCCTGTTGGACCTACGTTATGCAACTGTTGGACCTCAGGCTCCGGCATTTTCTTTTGGGTTGATCTTGTTTTGTCTTGTTTCCTTCTTTGATTGGTTTTAACCATGTTTAGTCTTGTTTAGTCTTGTTTAATCCTTTACATTGTTTCCTTATTTGATTGGTTGATCTTTTTTAGTTTTGTTTAGTCTTGTTTAGCCTTTTCACGTGCCAACAGGAAGGAAAAATTGCGCGGATTTCGATCAATATAATATATATATATATGAGCGATTGTGAAAACCCTAGGTTCACGGAAAGGACATCAACAAATTTGGGAAGGTCCCATCGCTTACCACACGTTTGTACAATAATATATGGTAAACTTGGGGGGTATCGCTTGCAGGAAACTGCTGCATTTATATTTATATATATATGTGATGAACTATTAATAATATGTGATATTTGGGTATCGCTAGTGTGGATATTGGAGAAATATGATGACATAACCTTGAAAAGGGGTATCGCTAATTTGGGAAGGTCCCATCGCTTACCTCGTGTTTTTAACAATTTCCATCAATTTCCATAAACCAATGTCCGTCGAATACATATTTAGTATTGCCGGGGTTTTTACGGTTGCTCATATATATAATTGGTTCCACTTCTGACATCTGGACGGTTTCTAGAAAAAATACAAATAACTATAAATAAACTTTAGAAATCTCATTGGCTGCTGTAAGCTGCCCGTGTGTCTTTTGTTGACCAAGGAAGGCAATAGAAAATGAGGGGGGCCAACCCATTTTCGAAGTTAATGTCCAAGGAAAGGAGAGGAAAAAGGAGAGGAAAAAGGCAAGGAGAAGGAAAAGGAAGAGTAAAGGAAGAGGAAAGGAAGAGACAGGAAAAAGGAAAGGGAAGGGAGAGGAAAGGGGAAAAAAACAGTGTCTCACACAGACCATTTTTGATGCCAAAAGTTATCGTTTTCGTTATCGTTTTGTTAGCGTTCGTGAATCCGCTGGAACGTTTCACAAAATGATCAGGCCGTTCACAGCTGTGCATCTTTGCTATCATGCTATCTCTGTCAATTAACTTGATGGGTTAGGCACCTCAAAAAATAAAATGCACCCACATGCACCCACAAAATAAAATGCTGGGGTCTGACCCATTTTATTTTCATTTTATTTTTTTATTTTTTATTTTAAAAGGGGCTCCAGCCCCCTCATTCTATTTAGGTACCCCGGACGGGGGTCATGGGTTGATAAGGATGATTTTCCGACTCGAACCTCAATTTTGTAGCGGATATTCCCATGGATTGTCCTTGAATTATTCTCATATGTTCAAATGATTTTCCCAACATGTTCCTAATGTTTTCCCAACATTTTCCTGATGTTTTCCCAACATTTTCCATTGTTTTCCTAACATTTTCCTTAATGTTTTCCTAACATTTTCCTTATGAGATTTTTTACTAGCCAGAGGCCAGGATTGTGGATTTCAATTGTTTCGTGTTTTTTTCGTGTTTTTTTCGTGTTTTTTTTTGTGTTCCGTTTTCGTGATTTTTTCTTGTTTTTTTCGTGTTTTTTTCCTACTGTTTTTCCTCTTCTTTTTCACTATTTGTGGATGTTGTTTTTTGTTTCGCCTTTTGTTTTCTTCTGGTTGCCATGCCTTGTCTGATGTGTTGCCACACTTCTCCAACCCAGGTTTTTCACTATTACGACTAAACATGTCTGCAAAGTATTCTTGCAAGAATACAGAATACGATACATTCGATTTCGGGTCCTCTGGTCCAAACAGGACCCCAACGCAGAAGGGAAAAAACGACCACGAAAAAAATACGAAAAAATAACACGAAAAAACTGAGAAAAAAAACTGGACCTCGAGCCAGCCTTAAAAAAAATAAAAAATGGAAAATCAAGAAACACCTCCAGTTTTTTGCGTGTTTTTGCGTTTTTTTTGCGTTTTTCTTGCGTTTTTTTTTGCGTTTTCTTGCATTTTTTTTGCGTTTTTTTTGCGTTCTTTTTGTGTTTTTTTTTGCGTTTTTTTTGCGTTCTTTTTGTTGTTCTTTTCTCCTCTTCCCAGGGGCCGCTGTTTCTGTGCGAGGCGTCCTTGGCGACCCAAATCTTTGATGTAATTTCCTGTGGCCCTGGGAAATTGGATTTGAGCCGCTCTATGCTTAAAAAGGGTGCAACGCAATTATTTCCTATAAGTGATCCCTATCCTGCTGGAACTAAGAGATAGTGAAGAGGCAAAAACAAAACAATTACAAACAAGAATAGCACAATGAAACAAAAACAAAACCAAACAAACACAACACACAAAACATGCAAAAAATAAACAGAAAAAAAACACAAAAAAAATGCAAAATCGAAACACCAAAAAAACACGATAAAAACACGAAACAATAGCAATTGCTCGCACATCCTCTGTGGCTCAGAAAATCTCATAACATTTTCCATGTTTTTTCCAACATGTTCCCAATATGTTCCATGATTTTCCCAACATTTTCCCTGATTTTCCCAACCTGTTCCATGATTTCCCCAACATTTCCCCTGATTTTCCCAACATGTTCCCTGATTTTCCCAACATTGCTCGATTCCCAACATGTTCCTCTGATTTTCCCAACAGAAAATCTCATAACATTTTCCATGTTTTTTCCAACATGTTCCCTGATTTTCCCAATATGTTCCATGATTTTCCCAACATTTTCCCTGATTTTCCCAACCTGTTCCATGATTTCCCCAACATTTCCCCTGATTTTCCCAACATGTTCCCTGATTTTCCCAACATTTTCCATATTTTTGTTCCTTGTTTGTTGAACAAATCCCATCAAATCCGCACCTGCGACGCCGCCGCAGCCCAGCTGCCCGCCAGCACGCTGAGGGCCGCCGCCAGGGAGACCGCAGCGAAGCGCAGCGCCCGAGTGCTGGCTGCCCATTGGGCGTGCAGAACCTCGAAAAATTGGACTACAAGGGGACGAATATTATATATATATATATCTATAATTATATGTGTGTGTGATATAGTTGGTTTATAATTTGACCCAAATAGTCCCAGTGGTCCCAAATCATTAACCAACTATGGACTATATGGGGACTATGTTGGGTTTATAATGACCCATAGCCCGGGGGTCGACTTCCCATGGCGGATGAACATGGGAATTCAACCATCAAAATATGGGGATTTGAGCAGAGATCATGGGAAAATTCAACGACCAACGATAAAGCCTGTGGACAGCCCCACCAGGCAAGTGGGGATGTAGACCACTTGAGTTTTTTAAGGTGCTTCTCTACGTAATCACCCCAAAAAACGCTGCTTTTGAGGACTCAACAACAGCCAACTGCAGCTGATCAGCCAATTATGACATCTTATGACTTTATGATTGGAACAATCACATCCCACCGTTTGCCGTTTGTCCATTATAAAGTATATACAAGAATATAATCTTATCTATATCCCCATTTGGCACTGTCTCGGCATATAACAATGTTCCTGAAATGGAAAGAGAAATAAAGCCTTTTGGATTTTTTGCAATCTTTTGCAGGGTTACATGTCCGCTACTATAACCTTCATTTATGGCGAGGTCGTTGTGGGTTTCCCGGTCTGCGTCTGTTGCAAGCAACGGCGAGCAAAGCCATGGCTACAGCACCTGAAAAACAGGGGGCCCAGGTCCCGTAGCTTGGTACAGCCCGACTCATTTTCCAAAGGACAGCATGATCTTAGACCCGGAAATGAGCAATGATCCATATACCCTCTGGTAAACTAACATAGCTATTGAAAATGGCCCATTGATAGTTGATTTACCTATTAAAAATGGTGATTTTCCATAGTTATGTTAGTTTACCAGAGGGTAAACATGGTTGTTTGGGACACGCAGGCCTTTGGAGCAGATGAGGAAACAGGGAATGCTGGACATGAAGAATTGCCATTTGACATTGGTAGATGTCAAACTTCCTGCCCGAATGCAAAGTTCCAATTGTTTCCCCTAAACAAAACTAAACAAAAACAGCAACGATGGAACCGGTGAAGAACCCTGGAACGGATTCAAATTCGCTTGTTTGCCCAATATAATATACGACAGCATTCAATGATGGATCCTGATAAATCCATATACTCTTGCTGCTTGCTTTCCTATGTTCATACATACACATTGACGGGCAAACTGTCAAACCAGCAAAACATATCATGGGATTTCATTGTTCCCATTGATCTATAGTCATCCCATAATTATCCCACTTATCCCATATTGATCCATATTATTCCATTCATATCTACTATATATATATATACATATTTGATTGGCTTTAATCCTATTAATATGGTAAACTGTTTAATATGTTTAATATCCCCATTAATTCATGATTCCCATTAAGTCCCAAATCTCCAACAGTTCACAACTCGTTTTCCCATGTTTTCCCCCGCCTGCACTGCTGATGCCCAGCAAAAACGCCAGGCACTTCTGCAGGCCCCGTCGCTCCTTCCAAACAGCCAGGCCTCTGGCAACGCCGGGGCGATCGGCGAGATCCGGTGATCAGATCGGGCCAGGCCGGATCTAAGATGTGGAAAAACCATGGTTTCCCGAGGAATTTCCAAAAATACGAATGATGGGTGAACACCACATCTATATGATTATATGAGTTTACAGGAGGGTAAAGTCCAATAATGTCCAATAACTAGTTATAGGGTTTATGGTACATACATGTATGATATATCTACAGAACTCATGGGGGTTATAAACCAACCTACAACTGGGGGCAACACCTTGTAGAGATTTTGACCTGTAGAAGCGGGGTTGGGCATTCAAAAATTAAGGGTGGCTGCGTTCACAAATGTTCTTGAACCTCCACCCAACTGAGCCTCACTCATATGTTAACAGTTCTGATAAACCATCCAAAAATTGGGGTTCGGCTTGCTTCTAGGCACAAGTGCCCTTGTAACATACCTGAAAATCGATTCATAGTCACCAGCAGGTATGGCCACTTAGAGGTCTAGAAGTCCATTTATCATTTATGTTTTGTCTTGTAGGGTCCATCTGTTTGAGGGGCTGAGGGTCTGTAGAGGTTACACTCAAAGAAGTAGAGAAAGGTCCACTCGGAGGATACTGCAGCCTCCAGCTGCTACAATCAGTGGGTTGTTTGCCACCAATCATCGGCCTTCCTTTAAACAAATTGTGGGATACAAGTATCATCCTCTAGCGAGTCTTGAGCTGTGAAAGCTTTGCATTCACCCTTTTTGGGCAGTATGAGTATGTGAGCCTTCGAATTAATTTCATCTGGGCTGTCTGGCCCAAGGGTTCTGATGCGTTCCAAAGAGAGATAGTCCAGAAACGCCTGCTACCATGGGCCTTACCGTTGGTTACATCACACTTACACTTTTACAATACCAATCAAAATCTATCTTGCATACCGTCCGCGATTGCCGCTGGACTCTCCTGTGAACCATCTTTTTACAGTCTGTTGTCACCTCTGATGCTAAAATGTCTGGTCTAGTGAGCCCCCAAGATCCCCAAGAGAAACAACAGGGTCTGGATGTCCGGCACTCGCATGGGGGTTTGTGGCAGAAACAGAGTGGCAGAAACAGATTTTCTACAATCTATCTCTCTCCATCGCTGACAACAAGAAGGAACCCCAAATTCACAAACTCATGGTTTGACTTGGGGCACCAAATGCATAGCCTTTTGAGGGTAAACCTCCAATGAATCCAGCAGGGTTTATTCATCCAGGTTGCCTGTCAGCAAGGTCCATAGCAGACAGCCCGCCAGCACCACTAGCCGCTGAGGCACGGAAACTGACGGAGGTGCGACATGGGTTGTGGATAGGAAGGATCTCTGGTGCACCCCCAGCATTTCTGAGCCCCAAGGAATGGATAGAAATGAGAAGAAATGGGAATATTTGAGAAGAAAAATACAATGTGAAACCATGTGTGTGGGATGTTGATGGAGTGAATGCTGCAGAGATCTGCTGAATCTTGTCCTACTACTACAGGTTCCAAGGCTGGCGATATCCAGGGGCCAGCAATTTCTGCACCCATCTCGAAGCACGAGATCATCTGCATCATGATCGTTCCGGCATTAAACCCCCAACCAGCTATCCAATCTATGACTTGCGCTGCCCTTTGTTTGTCCCATTTACAAGTGGTCATGATCTGATTGCATATCATTGTATAGAGAGTAAGGTTTATATATATATCATATCATATAAATAAATAAAATACACACACAAGCAAGCACACACACACACATATATATATACATATACATATTATACATATGTTATGTGTGTTTAATTTGTATGTCTGTATGTATGTATGTCTGTCTGAGTGTATGCATGCATGCATGGATGGATGGATGGATGTATGGATGCATGGATGCATGGATGCGTGGATGCGTGGATGAATGCATGTATGTACGTACGTACCTACGTAATTTAATAGCAATCTTAGACACACACCCGCGCACACACACACACATACATGTATATATATATATATTATGTAAATATATATATATATATGTAATATATGTATATTATATATGTATACATATATATATATATACACCACTGTTTTGATCTATTTTGTATACCCATTGCAACCCCCGTAGCCCCAGCCCATTCCATTGGCATCGCCTGAGCCCTGCGACTGGCGGAGCCATGACAGGCCAACCAATAAAGCCAGTCCGAAGCTGGTGGCACACAGAAGACAACCAAAGGCCTGGAAGTGCTGAAGGCTACGGATTTTTTGGGGATTTTGTTTGGGTTTCATGGGAATTTCATGGTGGTTTAATATGTTTAATGGGATTTGAATGGTGGTTTGATGGATTTATATGGATTTTTGGTGGTTTGAAGGCCAAGATTTGAAAGAAAAATGCTGGTTTCGTGGGATTGTGAACGCTAAATACACCAACAAATATGGTGCTTTCAGGGATTTTTTGAATGCAGCTCCAGTAACTCGAGTTTGTGGTCGATATATCTATAACTGAATAATTGGGGAAAATCGACATTGCTGGGAGACCGTACCTTTATTTTAAGGTTTAAGGGTGTTTAAGGTTGAAAACCACTCTGACAACGCTCCGTAGCAGGGACGCCTTCTCATAGATGCGATATCCCTGGAAAGTCGCCAGAATGCCTGGGGTGGGGCAACCATTGCGCGTTCAAAAGATGAAAAATGCAACTCATTGTCGAGCAGGGATAGTACATATAACAATTATTAATAATTCATATGTATATATATATATATATGTAATATATATATATATATTTATTTAATGATTATAATGTATCCATATGCATTCCCGGAAAATCCTGGGGTTGTTTCAACGCAAATGGGAAAACAGTAAGTTGTCCTTCATTTTGTGGTCCCTGAAATGAATCCTATTGCAAGGGCAGGTTGGTCAAGAACAACATAATTCCGCACGCATGATGCCTCCGGTGCAAATTTTACCAATCGTTTTCCACTGAGTATTGAACTGACAACGAACCACATTGCTCCAAGGGGGAAAAACAAAACTCGCATAGCTTTTCCGTAGTGCTCAAATAATTAACCATTTTAGAAGCTGTTGCAATATGTTGTAAACTGTTGTAATTTTAGACCCCCAGGACCAAGCCTAAGGACAGGTTCACAAATGTTCAAAGCGGGTTTAGATCTTCAAAGGCATTCAAGCGCAACACTGCCGGCAAAATTGTTGCAGGAATTTGCAGGACCAAAAACCTCCTTTATTTGGATGGCAAAAAGTATGGATGTCTGATGATGTCTGGATTTGTTCCCTGAATCAACTCTGTACAGTAGCCATGTGTTTTAAGATAGGGCAGACTAGTCTAGCCAATAAATGTATATGGATCAAAGTTTGAAATTTCAAAAATTGAAATCTGCCACTAAGATTGCCTATTCAATCCATGTAGGACTTTCTTATCAACCAGCGGGAAGCACACACACACACACGTATATTAATGTGATATATAATATATATATATATTTAATATATATATATATTTAATATATATATATATATTTAATATATATATATATATATTTAATATATATATATATATATATTTAATATATATATATATATTTAATATATATATATATTTAATATATATATATATACATATATATATACACACATATTTTTTCAAAAATATAGAACCACTGCCCCGCCCTGATCTGCCACCGAAACTCTGACCTTGACCCAGGGATACCCATGGTCCCAGCCCCGCGCCTACCACGATACCAGAGACCACCAGCACCATCCCTTGACTGTCGCATTCCGCCGCTGCCGCGATACGTTGGACGCTTTGGTGCCATGAGTCCGGCAGCACTGGCATCGAAGCCGCAAATCAGACGCGCGGTGCGCGGGCTGCGCGGGGTGCGCAGAGGGGGCACTGCGGCCCCCTGGAAAATGCGAAGCTGAGAAGCCAGAAATCGATTCCAGTTTGGAGATCAAACCCGATATAATATATATATATTATAATATAATATTCAAATCCTTTCTCCTGAATCATGGAACGCAAATTCATACCCTGGTCTAGTTTAGTATTTTGTATTATGTCATCATATTCTATCAATTCGGTATGGGCAATTGAGGTGTTTAATACTAAGGGGATGGAATTTTCATGTGGGCCAACTGCCACATACTGCCACTGAAAAGAAACCGGAAAGCCCTGCTCATTTTTTTTCTGCCACTCCAATCTTAAATACCACTTAGCCGGTTGGTGAACGTTACCACAAAGGTTCCCATCATCATCAAAATGGCCAACAAAGTTTATGGAATATATATAATTATATGTATGTATCTGTGTGTATCTGTGTGTATATGTATATATAAATTGTGTGTATTATGTACAATTCACGCCAAAACAAACACACACACACAAACAACCCAGCCATCACCTCCAGTTGGGCAGCCCCGGCCATCCAATGGAAAAGCCATGGCGCCCAAGGGCCCCATGCCCTGCATGAGATCCATTGGATCAACCACGCCGCCCATGGCGGCCATGCCGTCCATGGGGGGACTTGCCATGGGAGTCCCCATGGGACTTGCCATGGGAGTCCCCATGGGAGTCCCCATGGGAGTCCCCATGGGAGTCCCCATGGGAGTCCCCATAGGGTTCCCCATAGGGTTCCCCAAGGCACCCATGCCCATGGCACCCATGCTCGGCATGCCTAAGGAAGCACTTGATTCAGGAGTCAGGCAAAACGTTGTCTGTTTGGAAAGGGGAATCAAAATTTAAAGTGGGTGATTTTCGGAGTACTTATATGGTACAAGACAATAAAATATAGGCATAACTGATATGGAAAGTTTCATCTGCGTGCAGAATGGGCAGAAGAAAGTAAAACTGTATAGGTCAAACTGAATCGATGTATCGGTGTCTCCAAGGTATATATATATATTTCTTCACGCCTCAAAACCTTACGGCCACCAACAAAAACACATTTGCAGGATTTCATACTCCTCCATTCGTGGAGAACAAGGAAACATGAACCAAGTATTCACATCTATTCACCAGTATGCCCAAGTCGTCTGCCAGGTCTTTAGTTTCTTTCAGTTTGGCTGCAACTGGGGACGCTGCTGGGTGTGTTATTTTCTTGGAGGTCAAACCTCCGCGCCGCTGTGAGGTGGAAAATCAGGACTGTTTTGCATTGGGCATGGGGCCAACCAATTCGAAAACCTAAAAAATTGACGCCTGAAGGCCTGAACCACCAAAAAGAAAATGAAAACAACATCAGCAACATCAATCCCGCAAGATCCCGCAAGGACACCCATTATGTCTGTGGTTGGTCAATCTTCTGTAGTCCGTCATATGGATTCACATGACGAACATGGGGCTAAGGGTCAGTATGGGTCAAATTTGGACGCCCCCATACGCATTCGCCACAGTGGTTTTAAATGGTTTGAATCTGCAACAATCGGGATTTCACTGAACAAAAATCGCTAGCCAACGGCCAAGAATGAGAACAACATGCCCAAAGTGGGTACCATTTTATGGGACCATTGCGTGAACATGCGTGAAGTGGGATAGACCCTGAACTGGGGAATCCAAACCTGGCAAATTGCTATATCTAAGCATGAATGTACACGCAAATATCATACATATACGAATGCATCTCTGATTGGAGTCCAGGTCTATTTCATGAATGAAAATATTGTATATAGTATATCACCATATATGTATATCAATATCAATATACATATATTGTGATCATGTGTGTGGGTGTGTGCGCACGGCAACCAAAAGAAAGATATAAAAGAGTAATTGGCAATGCTTTTGGTGAGATTTTGTGTATCGGTTCCAAAATGGTAGCCATATATTTGTGTATGATCACTGGCCTAATACATTCAACCAAGTATCAACCAATCTAATTAACTATCAACCAATGATCATGTGTTGATATAATTGGTTCATATCCAGTTCACCAACCTTTATCAACATATCAACACATATCAACCCCATTAATCCATTCATCAACGTGTCATGGGTCCGTGAGCATGAAATCACTGTCCCATGAGCTGCCCGACGCTTGCGGCTTGTTCTCGTCATTCAGCGTGACCGCAAAATTCACCTTCCAGGCTCCAGGAGCTTGATCGAGGTAGCTACAAAAATTGGGTAATCCATATATGGTATATGTATAGTATAGTATAGTAAAGTATAGTATAGTATAGTAAAGTATAGTATTAGTATTAGTATTAGTATTAGTATTCGTATTCGTATTCGTATTCGTATTAGTATAGTATAGTATTAGTATAGTATTAGTATAGTATTAGTATAGTATTAGTATAGTATAGTATTAGTATAGTATAGTATAGTGTAGTATAGTATAGTGTAGTATAGTATTAGTATAGTATTAGTATAGTATATCATGGTACTTCTGTCTGCCCCCCCCCAGTTGCACCCCCCCCAGAAAAATAAAAACATAAACGGGATGCAACAAGCAGTGAAGGTTAATAAGCCCTTAGTATCAGGTTATTAACCAGCTAATAGACCTCTATTTGTTGGGACACAAAACAAGTTATTAACCAGCTATCGACAGCTTATTAACAGAGATTTTGCCATTTGGAACTGCGCATTTTATCGGGTTCCCTTTGAAATCAGTAATAGATGGCTATTAAGGATTTCAGGTGGGCAATGAGTTTGTGGTGCTGTCAAAATAATGCCACCTTCCACGAGTTGCTTGAAACCACTAATAGATTGTTATTAAATATTTTTGGTAGGAAATTATTTTTGGAAGCGGCCCCAATACCTCCACTTCCCACGAGCTGCTTGAAACCACTCATAGGCCAAATCTTTTGCTCTCATAAAATAATGATAGGCCAAATCTTCAATTGCAAATCTTTTGCTCTCAAATCTTCCAAAGCAGAATCCCTTAATAACCAGCTAATAAGAAAGCATATGCCCATGGCTGTTTACGCACTGCGATTCCAACGCTCGAGCTCCAAAACGGAACTGAAACCCTTAATAAAATAAGAAAACACCTGCCGGTGAGTGTTTGCGCGCTGTATTTCCAACGCGCGAGCTCCAAAATGGAAGAGAAACCTTTAATAACCATCTAATATCAAAACCACATGCTTGTGATTATTTGCGCGCCTTGTCTTCAGCGCGCGCCTCCAAACCGGAACCAAAAAACTTAATAACCTGCTATTAATTTTTGGTGCCACCTTGCAATCCGGGGGGGGTGCAACTGGGGGGGCACACAGAAGTTTCATGAGTATAGTATAGTAAAGTATTAGTATAATATAGTATAGTATAATATAGTATATAGTATAGTGTATAGTGTATAGTATAGTATATAGTATAGCATGAAGTATAGTAAATAGTATAGTATGAAGTATAGTATATAGTATAGTATATAGTATATAGTGTATAGTATAGTATATAGTATAGTATATAGTATAGTATATAGTATAGTATAGTATATAGTATATTATATAGTATAGTATATAGTATAGTATATATATAGTGTATCGTATAGTATAGTATATCGTATAGTATATCGTATAGTATATCGTATAGTATATAGTATAGTGTATAGTCTAGTATATAGTATAGTGTATAGTCTAGTATATAGTATAGTATATAGTATAGTATATAGTATAGTATAGTGTATAATATAGTGTATAGTATAGTGTATAGTATAGTGTATAGTATAGTGTATAGTATAGTGTATAGTATAGTGTATAGTATAGTGTATAGTATAGTGTATAGTATAGTGTATAGTATAGTGTATAGTGTATAGTATAGTGTATAGATTAGACTAGATTAGATTAGATTGGATTAGATTGGATTAGATCAGATAGATTAGATTAGATAGATAGATAGATAGATAGATAGATAGCATATATATATATATAATTATATACATATATATAGAGAGAGAGAGAGTACATATATATGTGGAAAATCAATGAACATCAAGCCTTTGCACATGATTTTCCATTTCCCCATGGGTTTTCCTCATTTATCGTAGTTTGCCCTCGGGGAACTTGATAATGCCACCACCCTTGCGGGAAATGCACGGATGACCTGGGAATGGACTGCTTTGCGCACAATTGAACACAATCAAAAGGGCCATGATCATGGATTACTTTTATGACATGCAATGCGAATCATGTGAATCCATGATATGCGACATGAAATTACATCAATTAGTCAGTGTTTTTGATCACTCTTCCTTGTCCGATCATCTCTATAATTCTTGCCGGAGTTAACTCTTTTATGTACTATGACATATGCTGCTATGATACATGCTGTATGAATATAAAGGATTTTACATTTTTCATGTTTGCTGCTGTGAATCTCTTCACTTTTCCCTGCAAACATCTGGAATTGGAAGCATCGCACCTCAGTCCCCTCCATGAAAGCTCCCACCTACAGGCAACGACTTGGGGCTGGGAAGGGGCGATTTGGGCCGAGGAAGTTCGCCCAAAAAGTTAGGGCATTGGGGGAATGATTTAGGATATTTAGGGGAAATATCAGGGAAATGAAGGTTGAGGCTTGATTCATGTAACTCATGTAATAGTCTGCTTCTAAACTGGGACCACTGGGACCACGATTTTGTTTTCCAACCAGGTTATTAATCAACATGATCTCAGTGGTAACTCGTGAATGGATGGACCCAAGTCAGCATGGTATCACCATGCACCAATCATCCCCGAACCACCGCGCAAGCGCTGAAACTGCTTGAATTTATTTGATTAAAGTCTTAGAGATCTTAAAGTTGGTTGTTTAAATCCTGATTGCTTTGGTTCTTGTTCAGGAAGTCTGGGGATTACGGGATCACACACCTGATTGTTGGGTGGTTCCCCTCACCACATCTCACCACCATTTCTGACCAGCTTGTTGAAGTTTAAGGAGATGACATCTCTCCGCGACCGAGCATGGGTAGCATGAGCCAAGTTCAATGGGTTGCAACTTCTGTGTTCTCTCCAAGTGTGGCTAGATAGTCAAATGGGGCTTTGATTGATATTGCTCCAAGACAGCCAACCCAATGATTGACCAGGGCGGAATTCAATCATTCACAAAAAATAAGCCGTGCTTGAGACTAATCCACCCAAATCATCTCACATCACCATGTTTGTTGATTAATAACAATAAAGTCCCAATTCAACCACCATTTTTCTTACATTTTTTTTTGATTTTCCAGCATCTGCCAGCCATGTTTGATTGCTGTGCTGCAGGGTATACTGTGAGCATCCGGAAGTTTCCAGGTGCGCCTGGGTAGCATGGACCACCACGTCGCAGCCGAAGACCGAGCTCAACTCGGGGCAGTCGATGTAGGCCATTCCCATCCTGGGCTGTGATGGCCAAATTGGGCCCGACATTGGGCAGCTTTTCCTAAGGGAAAAATGGATCAATATGGTGGTTTTTGACACAAACAATAGGGATATCATGGGGATACATGGGGATATCAGGATTTTTGTTGGCCACCTAGAATTTCATACCACAAATTCAGATGATATTTCGCGGAGAATTTGCATGGATGTATATAATTTCCTCCCAAGTAAATCAAAATGTTGAGATGGAAAACAGCCATGGCAAAAACCAAGAACAATGATCTACATTCACGGTGCGTTTTTCGTATCTACTGTATGTATCTTTATGTGACCCTGGAGGGTGATATGAGATACCGCCAACTTATCAACCTGATATCGTACTGAATTGGATCCGTTCTGAACTTGGGGGCACATCCAAGGGAATTTCATATTTGGGGCCAAACAAATGCAAAACCTAACCCTGAAGATCGTTTTTCACTGCCCATGTTCCTTGGCTTTCAGCCTATGTTTCTTTCGAGTGCCCATACTCAAAGACCTGTCTGGCTGGTAGTTTCAAATGTTTTGCTCCCCTGAAAATATGAGTCAGACCCTTCGCCCAATCATCGTCCCAAACATGGTTGAAAAATGTTGAAAATACCAAATACTGTACTTGAAACATCTTGAAATCCCCAACCTGCTGTGCTTGTCATGACCCCCCCGAGGATCCCATAGAGGTTCCCATACTTAATACAGTAGATCTTAATACTTGGCCAGTGTTTGGTCATGGTCAGTCCCTGAACTGGGGCAGCAACAACCAAATTTCACCCACTTCCCGCAGGAGCAGCATTAACCATTTCCATCCATTTCCACAATATCATAATCTAATATATATATATATAACCAACAGAAAGTCGGCCATGTTATCTGATGTATGTACATATATTATCCTAGTAAAGCAATAGTGAACCATCCCCTATTTTAAAATTTTTATAGGTGGTATAGGCCATATGGATCCTGGGTTCCCTGCTGGGGGTTCAGCTTCTTGAGGGTGCCGCTACATCTCTTCTCCGTAAACGCCTACGGATGAAGAAATGGATGGAAGCCCTGAGCAAGAATTTACATGGGGAACAACGCATGGGGAAAATTATGGAAAATTGGATGTAAAACATGGAAAAACGGATGGGAACATAATGGAACAACATCATACCAAAGCTAGAAGCCAGCGTTTTCTTTGCCTTTGCATTCCTAGTAGCGAGTTGCAATTCGTCCGGCCGTGGAAAACTTCAAAGTGATCCATTGAACGTCCTGGTTCGATAGCATGAGACAGCTTGGTCATGCTTGGTCACAGGCTCAGAATGTAGATATCTTATGATATCTCAATGAAGATAGAAGGAGCTAACATTGGATCGGATAGAATTGCGACGTTGCGATCCTTGCCAATTTTGTTCGTGTTGCGAACGAACGTCTTCCCCTTTGCTTGTTTGGAACAAATCCTTGTTGATCATCTGAGGCTTGGCAAAGAACTCAAATCGGAAATTCAACCGAGAATGATCAGACCTTTTTCCAAAAAAAAGTTATGAACCAAAGGAACCAAAAGAATCGTTGAACATGGAATTTTCATATGGATGATTGAACACCAAAGTTGACTGAAAAAACATCAACTTCATTCAGCCGGGCAAAGTACTCTAACTCACACATCAAATAGAAATCAGAAAAGAACGCGAATTCGTCGGAGAAATCCCCCGCTAATCATCCACTTATGGTGAAATTTCCCAGTCGCCTTTGTGGGCGCGTATGTGAGCTCGGGCACTGCTAAGCCTGGGAATGGAGAAATGGACAAAAAACACACCAGATACAGAAAGCTAAAGTATCCCATATATCATGGCAACATATGCCAAATTATGGCGTATCTATGTATATGGGGGTCTGCCATGTCCATTACTACTTCATCATAATTTACAATCCACTGGTGTGAATATTTATTGGGGCAGTCCTAGTTGCAACTTCTAAATCGTCACTTCAAGCTTTGGGGTATTCGCCAAAACTGTTCAACCAAAGATTCGTGGGGGATTGTCATCGGTGGCAGTAACCTTGGCCCGTTCAACACAGTATTGCCGGACTCTGTTGGCCAATGGATTTCTGCACAGTGCCATAGCCTGAAAAAAAGGGCCCCAAGAGTCAACACGTGTTTCAACTTGACTGCTTGCAAAAATCCGTGACATGGCATCGTATCTTGCCCAAAACACATATATCTTTGAATCTTTGACCTTACTGACCCACTCTTGTCGTTTCACCCCAACTCAAAGAGATGAATGTGGTAAACCCAATAGCAAACCAAACCCAATAGAGGTTTATTGTTGGGTAAACTCGAATTTGGGATGATGTAAAATGACCCCCCACTCATGGTTATGGGATAGTTATGTCATTGGGTTTACCACATTACAGTAGACAAAAGGTTGATTTTCCAGCCTCGCCAAGCTTTAATCAGCATCCCCAAAATCTGGATTTGCTGAAGAAACATGATATGGACAGTTGTCACATCTCCTCCCCATCCACCATAATATGGGCTTGTCTAAAAATATGGTACCCCCTAAATCCACTGTATAGTTGATCATCAATGTCACTTTACAGCAGTTGCCAAAAACAGCGCTGCTCCCAGCAACCGAAATACGAGGAGGGCAAGTAAGGACGTAGCATGAGCAATTTCACCCCGTTATGGCTGAAAGTAGGGTACCAGAAAATCCACTGATGAATCATATTTTGTCCCCATTAAATGGCCATTTATGGGTATATATGGTATATATTGGTATATTAAAATATACAACCCATTTTCAGAGGCACCCATCTCCCCAAACCATGGAGTCTCTGAGATGATCCGGCTCACCAGGCCAGGCGCGAGCTCAGGCTTCTGTTGGAGCAACTGCAGGGCTGCTGAGTTTATCGTGCTTTACGCTGTTTGAAAAGGGGTTAGGAATCTGAAGACGCTGAAAAGTTATGCAGCGATATCCTATAGTTCTTGACTTCCCAAAGTCGACTTCCTGACGAGTTACCCAAGTGGCAACAAGGATGTCCCTCCAGCATTCCCTCCAGTCCAGCAGTCCAACCAAACCCCCGCCTGGCCCATGACCGTGGCCAAGATGTTGTCATCCAGGGCACCAAGGGTGTTCAGAATGAGCTGCGAGAACGCGCTGGATGGTGGGAGCAGTTTTTCGAGGGTTTCCCGTTTTCTCTCTGGCTGGTCTATGAGATGATGCAAGAACAGACATAATCATAGCTCACCTTTAGCTACAAAAGGGAGATAGATATTGATGATGATGGATGATGGATGATGGATGATTGATGATAGATGATTGATGTCAAGTGATTCCACCATTCATGAAGCTATCTCAACTTCGCCAGTGACCACTTGGCCTGATCTTCCTTAAAACTTTCGAAGATGTGATGGCTCTGACAAAGACAAAGAACAGAACATCTGATAGAGATTTAATGGCATACATCTTTAGTGGAAGAATGTGGTCTCTCATTCTGATTTATATCTCATTATATATTGCATCCATAATTTGCTCTTGAGTTGGATCGGCAATATGCTGACATGCAAATAGATACATAAATTAAACTACCACACATAAATATAATATATGATATATGTATATATGTATATATGTATAATATTGCTACATGGAATCATGATAATCATGTATGTATATGTGATATATATATATATACATCAATATACTATATAATAGTATGATTATGATATAGTATGTATGCGAGTCGCCTTGGGATCCATCGGCCAAAACCCGGTCGAGACGACCACGCGGGCCCCCCATCGCCGCCCAATGTGCCGTTGCCAACGCTGCGGAGACGCGTTGGATGACTGACACGGCATCATCAGCCCGAAGCCATGGGAAATTTCCATGGGAAAACATGGAAAAACCATGAAAAAGACCAAGTAACTTTGAATAAGATGTGTAAAACTGATCATGTTTAAGCTAGCAGGTGGAAAAGAGCGCGTAGTTGTGCCACTTTTTGAATATGTACCCGTCATGAGGTTGAAGGTGGGGTTCTGTTGGGTGGGGTGGGGCAATAACGTTCAAGTTACCTTGCGCACGCACTTGCACGCTATGTTGCACATTGTGGTTTGGGGGGGTGGGAGGGTGGGAGGGTGGGACATATGAAAACCATTTGGGCCACAGAGCTTGCAACCACAGCAAGGCAATTGTTTGTTAGAGTAGGAGAAAAACATGGGGCACTTTGATGGCCCACACTGGTGGAATTGATGGCATGTGGAACATGCCTAAAAGTGTTATCTCAAGTTCTTGGAGCACTCGCAAAAATGCTGTTGTCAATATTCAATTGCTCCAGGGGATTAGAATTTGGGGAAATGGACTGACCACCTCTCAAGTTAAATATCCCTCCATTTTGGCCGGCAAAATGAACATGTCCATCATAAAATGAGCATGGCGCCACAACGCCAAGCACCTTTTTTTTGAAAACGTGCTCAACCACTAGCGGGGTTCCCGGGATGTGTAAAGGTGCAAAAAAAAAACCATGAACAGTTTTGAATCTCACGGCTTGTTGTACCAATCGCTACGCAAATGCAATGTGGATGAGATTTGGGGGTATTTGAAATTCACCTGCCTGACACTGAAATTTGATGTACCCGTAGCTGAGCTTAACAAGGGCCTTCCTAGCTCATTCAACATTTAGGGCCCTTTTATGGCCTTGTTGCGATAATGATGCAGAGCTCATGAAAGCCCACGTGCAGATCTCAATATGTGGAGCACTTAGACAACAAATAAAACAGCAACCAACAAATCTTTTGCCCCATACAAAAGAGAGACAGAGAGAGAGAACATGAACAATATATGTTTGGCAAAATATTGTGCCCCATAGAGAATAGAGAACAATACAGTCAAAAGTCGCAACATCTCGCAACACCCGGCCACAAATGTAGCAAACCTTTTTGTCCTCGAAACAGGTCAGGCGCAACTGGATTTGCATCACACTGGCCACTAGACTCACTAGACCTCTTCCTGCGACATGCGGCTTGGGGCAGGTGAGGATTCAACTTCTGGCATGCCCCTAAGCTTCAGCAACCAACGGAGTAAGGTTCAATCTATACCTTAGATTTCTGACATGTTCATACATGTTTTATCATTTTTGGGTTTAATGCAATAAATGTCCATGTTGGGTTCTAGTGCGATTTCCATCAATTTTTCTTGATGTTTCCATTTCAAAATAGAAGCACCCAGGCATATCCGCCCAGCAAAACCGACACATTTTGAGTAAAGTAAGGTCAGTGCGACATACAAAATTGACAACAATAATCAATGGAGCTGGCGGCTCTATTTGGAGCTAGAGATGGAGCTTTAACGTCTTTAACCTGCTTCAAAACAGCCGTGGTTAAGACCCTGTCCTCAGGATCATCATCGGCAGGTTCTTCCTCCGGGTCCTCCTCATAGACCAGCTCAACCTCCTGAGGAACCGCTTGGAATGAATCTGGCAACCATGGTGACCTGATAGGAAGCCTGGTATCATCCAGGTCTTGGATGATAGTTTTGGATAGTGACTTGGGGGTATAACAATCTCAATCATGGGGCCAATGTCATAAACCATCCCTCAGTCATCAGCATGTTTGTGATGACTGATGGCTGCAAACTGCAGCCATCAATCATCCTCAAATGGATCCAACTGGTAGGTTTATGGCATTGGGGTTTCCCACATTAATTATACCCTCTGGTTATTTAACATAGCCATGGAAAATCACCATTTTTAATAGGTAAACCATCTATAAATGGGCCATTTCCCATGGCTATGTTAAATAACCAGAGGGTATATCTCGATCCGCCACTGCAATCAGGAAAACATGGCTTTCTGCCACTGCATCTCCTCATCATCTGCCTCCTGCAGGGGGGCGGAAAAAAGGGCGGCACTGGGCCATGACTCTGCCTCCGGATAACTGCTCATCATATCGTGTCTTTGCCCTCCGGCAATCAAACATGGCAATGGGAAATCACCTACACATGCCCATCTAAGTGGGAAATCATCTATTTTCCAGCCGGCCATGCTTGATTACCACATGGTATCTTTCACGTTTATGATCCCCTTGTGGTGCACCCAGATGGGGTTGAACCCCTGAAAAATAAAATGAAATCAAGGGCACCCAGGCTACTGACCCCCAAAATGCAAAAATGAAATCAGGGGAGTTCAACCCCACATGTTGCGCAAAGAAAAAATCATCAGTCATCCAACTGAGGGGTTTGCAAAAATAAAATCAAGAGGTTCCAGAAATAAAATCAAGAAGGTTCCAAGCCAGCATCCAAAATGTTCCAGAAATAAAACTGAAGGGTTCAAGGTCAGCCTATGTGTTTGTGAAATCATCTGAAATTTCAACAACATCTATCAAATATTGAATCCAAACATATCCAAACCCAGCTTTTAAATATGTATTTCAAGCTTTGTAGAAGCAGAATGGTGTAATCAGGTAATCACAATCCATAGGTTTTTTTCTTTTTTGTGGCGTGTTCTGGCTGCATCCTTTTCTGCCCAAACAATAGTGACCACCAAACAAAGCATAGATTCAATATATTCCAACCATACTACCCAAAAAAAATCTACAAGCTTGGGAACCTTGGATTTTATTTTCCCCAAAATCTATCAAATATTCAATCCAAACATATCCAAACCCAGCTTTTAAATATGTATTTCAAGCTTTGTAGAAGCAGAATGGTGTAATCAGGTAATCACAATCCATAGTCTTTTTCTTTTTTGTGGCGTGTTCTGGCTGCATCCTTTTCTGCCCAAACAATAGTGACCCACCAAACAAAGCATAGATTCAATATATTCCAACCATACTACCCAACAATATTCTACAAGCTTGGGAACCTTGGATTTAATTTTCCCCAAAATCTATCAAATATCCAATCCAAACATATCCAAACCCAGGAATCTACGCAAGATGCACAAAATCTGAAGCATGATAGCCATTGTTTTCATCATGTCTTGTCCACCAATTCCAACACAAGAGGTGTGTTCCAACATGTTCCAACAAAACAAAAAGGTAAGCAAAACGCAAAAATAAAACCAAAGGGACCCAACCTAAAGCTACTCCACCAGCTGCATTGGGGTTGGTTCTTGGTCTTGGCCCATGTCTCAAAAATAAAATCATAGGGGTCTGACTTACTCAAAACTTATGATAAGCACCTTTTGAAAAATAAATTTAAAAATATTTCGGGCTCAAGCCCCTTGATTTTATTTTTGAACACCGCTTAGGGATGTTTATGGCAAGGTCTGGTTATCCTGGCAAACCTGCATTCGGAGAGCGTCCAAGGAAACCGCGGAGAATTTTGAAGAGGTTGGCAATGGCCAGAGCATGATCCTGATATATACATCATTATACATCTGATATCATCTGATCTAAGGTCGCAAAGATATCTTTTCCAGTAGGACACACAGCCAGTATAGATGCTGCTGGATGAGCCAACGATATTGGCTCCCGAGGGCTCAACTTTACCCATTCAAACGTGTCTCAAACAGTTCCAGCAAGGATTTGGTGTAATGTGGGTAAAACAATAATGAACCACCCCATTCTTGATGGTTTATACCACCCATTTATGGACTTTATGGTGATTTGGGGGATGGTTTATGAATTTTATTATTGTTTTGACCACATTAATACATATCCATCCATATCCCATGGTTGAAAACACCCAGATTTCTCAAAGCACAGAAATCACCGCCCACAACTTGACGAAAAACTCCCTTGATCCGACATACATGTTCGTTCGATCAACCCATAGCGTGAAAAAAGATGCATTGATTGGTGGGATGATCCATTATATGTCAATTGACTTTTTGATCATCTAAATTTCAATAACTGTCATAAGTGTTCAATGACATGGTTGATCCATCTAAATTTGGCCCTTATCCCACACCCAAAAAAATATCCCATTATACAACCATTCCGGTGAAATCATGTTGAATATCCATGTTCAAGGATAACATATTGATGTTCAAAATTCAGGTGATTCAATATCATTGAATATCATTAAGTCACCATTTTAGATGGTAAAATAATCTTAAATCACTTAAAGATTCACCATGTTTGGTGAAATCGCTGTG